AAAATTCAGATTTGTTTCGACGTCTAAAGACGTCTCATCAGGTGGTTAATGGGGTCACCAATAATTCCAGTTGTAGTTGGGGCACTCGGATTGATTGGAAAAGGGTCCGATAGACCCACTAAAAGGATTCCTGCTAACCCACGCCTTAAAGAAATACAGAAAATTGGACTCACAAGTCCAGCTCACACCTTACGAAGAACTTTATCTATATAAAATGTCTGTGCTCTTGTTTTATTTTTTTTAAAAAAAAATGATCAGTGGAAATGTCATGAAGCCGTTTCTAACCTTAAGTTTCTGTTTGGGATCCAGAAAGAAATGTGTATATAAGAGAAACCCAAGGAAATATTACTACTACTACTACTACTACTACTAATAATAATAATAATAATAATAATAATAATAATAATAATAACCCTGTAGCGTTGTACCTTTCTTTGAAAAATTTTCCCAAACCTTTACAGAACCGTAAAATAAAGCCAACCATATGGACACCTGGTACCTTACATCGCTTGAAAGCAACTTTTTTCTTTTAACTAAAACTCAACTATAAATCGGCATTCTTTCATTTTCGTTCCTCTTTCATTTACGTTCCACATTTTCTTTATTATTCTTCATGCGTCTACGCAGCATTTTTTAATGCAAATCGACAATCCCGCTGAGACCATAGACAATTCTTCGACAATCAAGATCACTGATCCGTAATCCTCTTCATGTTTCAGTTGATGTTTTTAGTCAGCTGTTGATCCGTGCCGCTTTTTGCTATTAACACTCGTCTATTGAATCTTATGCGTTCCGCCATGATTTTTCGTTCTTTTTTTCTTTTCTCACCAGGAGGAGACATCATGACCTTTGCTCCATCAATTGCTTGTTATTTTACCACAGTTTCGCTTAGAAATCGAAAAAAATATCTGACCTTGAGGTTTTGGGCGGATATTATTTTCTTTATTTTAACCATTATCGTTATTTGTTGTTGCTTTTTTTTTTTTTTACTTAAGTGAATAGACAAAAACAGACATTGCAGAAATAGCGATCATGGTGTTAGATCCTGTGGTTATTATTGGGGTCAAGTGGCAGCAGTTCTCATCTTCAGCACATTATTCTATATCCTCGTAGATCTCAGCAACGCCGTAATTTAGTTCGTGTCTTCTTCCACCAATATTCCATTCTTTCAGTCTTTATTTTTTTTAGTGCTAACTATTATAATCCCGACTCTAACAATCGTGTTTCGCAGTTTCTATAATTCCCGGCCGAGGTCCTGACAATTTTCAAACTTTTGTTTTCTTTTGCCTTCATCTTGTCATCCGCCAGCCGAGTGACATCTATAATCTGTAATAGATTCTTATTACTTGTTTGCAACTACAAGACTTAGTCTTTTAGTCAGACTGGTGTGGTTTGTCTGGATCTTAACGTTCCAGAGTAAATTATTCTCTTTATTTTCAGGAACAGCAGACATTTGTTGTTAATGTCTGACTTATTTCTTTATCTGGTAATTCAGTTTTCTTTATTTGTCTGTATTTCTGAGATGAGGTATTATGCACATTATTTACATTATCCGGGCTATAGTGTGAGTTCAATACCCGGTTAAGGCGGCGAAGAACTTTCAGAGGGAAATTAACAAGAGATAGCTGATAACTGACATCCATTAAACATGGTAAGTGGAACTAGAACAATCTACTCCAGTCAGCGAAATAAAAGGTTCAGTTCGACATTCCAACCACCTGAAGAAGGCTGGAGCGTACAACGGCCGAAACATTGTAATAAATATAGCGACAAAGATGAGGACAATAGTCCGAATAATGTAAATTATGTCAGTTTTCTTTGTTGTCAAAGGTTTTCATTTTTACGTAAGTATGCGTTTATATCAAATACCCAAGGGTGATGACCGTTCCTGCCTTGCAAAGTTCAGTATCCATTGCAATTGGTATAGACACTGTTTGTTAGATTTGAATGACAGTTTGTCTAGGAGAAGGATCGATCTGATTCGAAAACGAGAGTAGATTGAACTCTTTAGATACCTTGATAACAGCCTTTCAAGTTTACAACGGCTTCATCTTTGCGGTGAGTGCGTGTGAGCTGCAACTCAGTAATGGCCAGAAGAGGTTTCGGGACCCACTGACGTCGCTTCTTTTCCAAGAGGAAAATCATGGGCATGCATCAAATATATAAAGATTAGCCGTTGTTGGCAGTCTATGAAAAGGATAACTTTTCTGTTTTGGATTGTGTTTCCGGTTACTTCTAAAGTATTTCTGTTCTCTTTCACTTCCGGTGACTTCTTGTGTGGTGGCATTTTCATCTTCCTGGGGGTTGTGCCTCTTACTTTTTAACCTTCTACCTCGAGTGGCTTATGAGCCTTGTACAGGGGGGAAGATCCTTTTGCACAGTCTCTATAACAACCTTCCTTCTTACATAATCCTTTCTAACTGGTTTGAACAGTTACTTCACTTTATTCGTTTTTTGCGAAGAGTATGACGTCATAAACGAGGTCATTCATCAATAGTTGAATTTTCCCGTCGGGTTGTTTTATTTTTTAAGATTAGATACACTGGTATCAAACCAACAAGATACACTGGTATTAAGCCAACAAGATACACTCTGGTAATAAGCCAACAAGATACACTCTGGTATCAAGCCAACAAGATACACTCTGGTATCAAGTAACCAAGATACTCTGGTATCAAGCCAAGAAGATACACTCTGGTATCGTGCCAACAAGATACACTCTGGTATCATGCCAACACGATACACTCTGGAATCAAGCCAACAAGATACACTCTGGTATCAATCCAACAAGATAGCCTCAAGTATCATGTCAACAAGATACACTCTGGTATCAAGCCACGAAGATACTCTAGTATCAAGACAAGAAGATACACTCTGGTATCAAGTCAACAAAATACACTCAGGTATCATGCCAACAAGATACACTCTGGTATCAAGCTAACAAGATACACTTTGGTATCAAGCCAACAAGATACACTCTGGTATCAAGCTAACAAGATACACTCTGGTATCATGCCAACAAGATACACTCTGGTATCAAGCTAACAAGATACACTTTGGTATCAAACCAACGAGATAAAATGATATCAAGCCAACAAGATACACTCTGATATCAAACCATGATACACTCTGGTATCAAACCAATGAGATAAAATGGTATCAAGCCAACAAGATACACTCTGGTATCAAGCCAACAAGATGCACTGGTATCAAGCCAACAAGATACACTCTTGTATCAAGCCAACAAAATACACTCTGGTATCAAACCAAGATACACTCTGGTATCAAACCATGATACACTCTGGTATCAAACCAATGAGATAAAATGGTATCAAGCCAACAAGATACACTCTGGTATCAAGCCAACAAGATACACTCTGGTATCAAGCTAACAAGATACACTCTGGTATCAAACCAATGAGATAAAATGGTATCAAGCCAACAAGATACACTCTGGCATCAAGCCAACAAGTTAGAGTCTTGTATCAAGCCAACGCCAAATATTATTGGGTACAGAGAATCTCCTTGAAGGGTCTCTCGTTTGATATCTACCATTGATAGGGTGTCTCATTTTACAGTCAAGTGTCTTCTTTCGTTCTTCATATTTCGTTAATCTTGGACATTTAAGACATTGCAGGCACTAAACTTCCATTCATCCAAAATTTAACGAATATTATTATTATTATTATCATTTTTATTTTCTTTGATTTCTGGCGTTTACACATTTCTTTCCGGGTCCCGTCCAGGGACCTAAGGTTAGAAATGGCATCATGATATTTTCCACTGACAAAAAAAAAAAAAATTACATGGATAAAGCCCTTCCTAAAGTGTGGGCTGTACTTGTCAGAACAATTTTTGTATCTCCTTGAGGCATGGACTTCCAGGGATCCCTTCAATTAGTCTACTGCAATCATTTCCAACCAGTCCTAGGGCTCCAACTACAACAGGGATTGTTGATGTTCTCATATGCCACATTTTCGAGATTTCTATTTCAAGGTCCTTGTATTTTGACAACTTTTTGAAGATCTTCAAAGATACATTGCAGTCAGCAGGGACTGCCATATCAATAAGGAGGCACTGTTTTTGTTTGTGGTCTTTAATAATAATATCTGGGCGGTTGGCCTTGATTGTTCTGTCAGTGTGTATTGTGTAGTCATTATTATTATTATTATTATTATTATTATTATTATTATTTCTTTTAATATCTGTTGTATACACATTTCCTTACGGGTCCCAACCAAAGACCTAAGCTCAGAAATGGCTTCATGACATTTTCCAATAATTTTTATAAAAAAAAAAGAAAATCTAAGACCGCACATATTTTACATAGATAAATCTCTTCATAATGTGTGAGCTGTACTCGTGAGTACAATGTTTTTTTGTATTACTTTAAGGCATGGGCTACCAGGAGTCTTTTCAACGTCTCTATTGGATCTTTTTTCCAATTAATCCGAGGGCTCTGAGTGGAATTATTGATGTCCTCATGTACTACATTTTAGAGATTTTACATTCAAGATTCTTGTGATTTAAAGTTTACGGTAGACGCGCTGTTAAATATACAATCCAAGATACAATCCAAGATACAATCCAAGATACAATCCAAGATACAATCCATGATACAATCCAAGATACAACCCAAAGATACTTTTACAAACTTTGGGGGCGAGTTCCTGATTTTTTTAAACTTAATAACTCAAAAACGAAGGATTTGCGAACATATATTTATATGAACTTTTGTCCTTGTTTTGGTGTGAGGAAACTGTCCTCAAAATGTGTAAAAGTATTTTTGATACACCCTGAAGGGAAATAGAGAAAAATAATCATAACAAATGAAATATTATACTACTTTTACATTGTTCCTTTTTTGGAGCTTCGAAAGATAAAACATGTCATCTCTCCTTTGGGTAAACAAAGACACACATATATGAAAGAGATCGATTTAGATATTAGTCTTAGAGATAGATTTTTAAATTAGAGAAACAAAAAGGTCAGAAATCTTTTCATGTGAGAAAAAAATACATCAAAATAAAGTAGTAAAAGAAAATAGAAATCAAGAAGCAAAAAAAAGTGAAAGAAGAAACGGTGTTAAGAGATATTAAGAAAGAAAGAAGAAACATGAAGAATGATATGAGATGATTAAAAAAAAGAAGGAAAATAAAATCTGAAGACATATTAAGAAAGATGTAAAGAGATGTTATGAAAAGAAGACTTAAAAACAGAAATAATAATGTGGGGAATTTAAAAAAAGAAGAAAGGAAACAAAATCTTGAAGGCATATTTCAAAAGAAAGGAAGAAAGAAAGCAATAAAGGAGAAAAAGGAATTCGATAGATAGAAATCGTTACGTTAAAAGAAAGAAAGAAGACCTTATCATTAAAAGAAAGAAAGAAGAAAGAATTAGATAGATAGAAATCGTTGCGTTAAAAGAAAGACCTTACCATTAAGAGAAATAAAGGAAGAAGAAAGAATTAGATAGAAATCGTTACGTTAAAAGAAAGAAATAAAAAACCTTAATATTAAAAGAAAGAAGAAAGAAAGAATTAGATAGAAATCGTTACGTTAAAAGAAAGAAAGAAAGAAAGAAGACCTTAACATTAAAAGAAAGAAGAAAGAAAGAATTAGATAGAAGTCGTTACATTAAAAGAAAGAAAGAAAAATTTAACGTTAAAAAAGAAAGAAAGAAACCGACAATAAAATTCGTAATTCGTGATTTGATTGAAGATTCATTTGAAAGAAATGAAATCGTCGGCTGGTCTGCTTTCAGTCCCGACTATTCAGGACTGCCAAAAAATGGTACACCAAATTGCTAGTGTCATAAGTTCACAGGTGTCACACTATTCTCATCTTAGTCAGACCAAGCTATGATTCGTAAACAACTGTACAACGTGACCAATATAAAATACTTTTTAATAAAGAACTAGGTTTGTTTCCGTTTGTCTGTGCGCATGTGCACACGCGCATAAATGTTGTCAGTATCGTCGACAAAAGTTTTGTTAACTGCATTTTCCTTTACCGTAAGAGTTTAGCATTCACTATTAAGAAAGTCTCAATATACTGGAAGCTGTTATAATTCGTAAGAAACAGTCTACAATAAATAAAATATCTTTCAATATAAATGAGGACCTTTTAAAATATGGATAAAAAATTTAAAATGCGCATGGACAAAAACAAAATGGTACCGCCAGGCTCAGTGAAACTGTTCAACACATGACGTCACTATTTACGCTACTTACGCCGTGCGTTCAGTTGTCCTCCTCGTTATTGGCTTTTCAAGGTGCCGTACGCTACGGCCTCCTTTAGGTGATACACGTTGGAATTTAGAACCGAATTCTTTATTTAGTTTAAGGAGGGGGGTAGATTGTTCTAATTCCATGTGTCATGCCTTTTTTTAATATTTCTGTTTCAGTTATTTTCTTTTTTGTAACTCAACTTTCCAAGTTTTTGTTCCGTTTGCTGTGGCAGTCTGAACAATGTCAATAGTGTAAATAGTTACAATACTTCATCTCAGAAATATAGACAGATATGACGTCATTTATACGAAATTCGTATGTTTAAATTCAAAATGCAGCGTTCCCCAAAATATGAGAATGTAGCGAACAAATCTACTGGCCATGCTATTGACATTTACTTCTCGATAGTGGCCGATACGTCAGGATCATCATCAAAACTGTTTCGATTTGAGGCCATGAATTAACATGATCTCTCATCTTCAGTGACATTGTTTACTGATTTGACAATATTTTGCCAGCCTTCTCTGTCCTCTGCGAGTTTGCGGAATTCGTTGCAGATCTTCCTTGATTGTAAACTTCTCCAAAGGAAAAGTGGGATCTTTCTGCCTTGTTCTTTGAATGTCTCGGTTCAGCATTGTGACTATGGTTGTTCTTGGATGACCTCTAAACTTTTTAAAGTCAGTCTTTTCAAAGTAAAAATCCATGGCGTTGTTAGCTTGGCATTCTGTTTGTTGACATTCGTATGTTTTTTTCTTGAACAGTGAGTTGTATTACAGACACACAGTCTGATACTTTCCAACATCGATGTACATTATTCTTCCATTTACTCTTGACAAGTCCGTTTCCAAAATGTTTGCATTTTGTCTCTAAACATATCAGCTGGTGTTTGTTTTTGCCGATGTTTCTGTTCAGACCAGGATCAACTTTTCATTTTCCGAATATTGTCTTTCTCAGTATGCAACGTCTTAAATAAGTAGTTACTGCGTAGCAGTAACTGGAGCAGCCATTACCTACTCTGCCAATACGATCGAAAGAAGTCAAATGAAAACATAAAAAAATCAACTTTGAAAATTTTTATCAAAATTTTGATCAGGATATGCAACAAGTTATTCGAAAACTGGGAAAAAGTGTAAAATACACTCCCACGATAAAAAAATCTACCTTCAGGGGCTCTTTAACCTTGTAATGTGTTACCATTAATAAAAATAATAATAAATTAAAAAAAGAAAAACCTAATGGATTGATTATCTGTCTATATTTCTGAAATGAGGTATTATGTACACTATTTACATTATTCGGACAATTGTCCTCATTTTTGTCGTCATATTTATTACAACGTTTCGGCCGTTGTATGCTCCGGCCTTCTTCAAGTGGTTGGAATGTCGAACAGAACCCTTTATTTCGCTCACTAGGGTAGACTGTTCTAGTTCCACGTGCCATATTTAATAGATGTCAGTTATCAGTTATCTCCTGTTAATTCCCCTCTCCAAGTTCTCAACTGCCTTAACCGGGTATTGAACTCACACTCTCTCAAAAATCTCCTGAGCCAACCAAGCATAGAAATGAATACAATATGGCAACCACTAATAAGGAGTGCCCACTTCCGAAAAAATATATATATATAGTTTATAACAAATTAACAAAATGACTCGCTAGGCTCTTAATTTACAAAATAATATTTTAGAGTAATGTCGATTTTACAAAATATTTAGAATGAATCCGATTGCGAAAGACTGCGCAAGAAATATGTAGTAGATTCAAATTTGAAATTATTTAAAAAGTAATTTTTCAATAATTTCATTAAAAATCTATTTAGAAACGCCAGTCGATATATGCTGAATAAATAGAAAAATATATAAGTGAAAAAATATTATTATAATATTTTTATTATACGAAATTATAACAAAAACATTTTGAAATTGCTACATAAAAGCTTTCATGTTTCAATACTATGATTGTACTTCCTCAGGCGATGGTTGGTAACTGGTGATAAAATGATTTTTTTAGGGAAATTTAAAAACAAGTCGTTACCTCTTTTCCAAAAGATGAAGTGTGGTGGGGGGATAAGGTCCGAATTAAAAATATACTTGTGGGTATGTCTAGATTAACCAACTGAAAGTCAGATATAAGCTAAATAGAAAAATAAGGTCAGTGGATGAAGGTGGTTGAGTTATTTTTTCATATCAAAATAAACCGGTACTAAACATGACAATCCTTGACGATTGTGAAGAATATAAAAGCGACAAATGTATCATAGATGTAGCCAAAATGTGAGGTTCTATTTGTTGAAGTGGTGGGAAAGGTTAATCAGACGTAAAGTTATCAAAAATAAATTAAAAAAAATATATATATATATATTCAGGAAGCTTCTTAAAGGAACCTGTAGATAAAATTAAAAATGTGGAACATCTATATACGATGCTAATAATACTGGATAGACGGCAAAACATAGTAATATTAAAGTTGGCTATAAAATTGTAATATATAATTTTTTTTTAAATAAAACAAATAGGTGAAGCATTTTTTTTAAATTTTGTATTTTTTAAGTTCCTCTAAGACACTTAAGATGGATCATTTGAAAGACCACTTCCTGCCTCCTATCAGTATGGCTGATGCTAACCTCCATAAGAGGGACTTGTTGTCCCTTCTCGGGCTAACATTCTTGTCTAATATGAAGTGGGGCGATAATATTGAATCCATTGCTATGTCTGCTGCGAAGAAATCTGATTCAATGTATTGTGCTAGACCATTTTTCTCTCCTGAATCTATCTTATATATTTATAAGTCTACCTGTCGTCCATGTCTTGAGTACTGCAGCCACATATGGCCCGGTATTCCTACTATATATTTAGAAATTCTAGATAAAATCCAAAGAAGAATCAGCAATATTATTAGTCCTCACCTGGCGTCTCGGCTTCAGTCACTTTCTCACCGCCGTAATGTAGCTTCCCTGTGCCTTTTCTATGAATATTTTCACGGTAATTGTTCGGATGATGTTGTACCTAGACTTTATGAATTCAAACTCAGTGCTATATTAGCGGTAAGGTCTCATCATTTTTTGAAGCGTTTCCCCCCAAGCAAGGCGGGAAGCCACTAGCACACAAGGGGTTACAGAAAGTTGGAGCGAGAGCAAAAGGAAATGATAGAGGAAAGGATGAAGAGAAGGTTAGGGGATAGATCAAGGCATCTGGAGACGTCGATTGACATTAAATTTGAATAGTTGGAGATTATAGCTATCAGGGAAACAAGAAAAGGGGAGGGAGTTTCACAGGTGAGAAGTGCGAGACATGAAGCAATTGGAGTAGAAGAGACGGCTACATTTAACAGTTTCGACAGTGAAAGGGTGAGAGCGAGATGCCAGCCTAGTAGAACGCTTAAATTCATGAAGTCTTGGAACCAGCGAAAGCAGCTCCTCGGAGCAGTTACCATGAAAGTATTTGTAAAAAAGACAGAGGGAGGCGACGGCGCGTCTGTGAGAGAGCGGCTGCAGACGAGATGCCAGATCAGGGCCAATTACATTGCATATCCGTCTCTGGATTTTATCAAGGACCTTGAGACAAACAGAAGGTGCTCCATACCATTTATGGCAGCAATACTCCATGCAAGGCTGAATGGTTGAATCAATTCACAAATGAATAGGCAACATATAAACGTGAGTTCTATGCTAACAGTTTTTTTTCTGTCACAAACCTCGCGTGTGGAAATCTTTTCTGGCTTCTTCCTTGCTAGTCAAAAATTTAAATGTAATGTCAGTCGTCATCTACCACCCTCTTCATTACCCTTCTTTTGTTCTCGCTCCTTAAAACTGCTTCTCTGTTTTCTTTTACTTTCACACTCAGTAACCCCTCATGTCTTGGGGGCTCTACTGCCTTGCATGGGGTGAAATGATAAAAAAAAAATAATTTGATCAAATATTCTGATATCCTAAATTTATGCATTCATATATTCATCTTTGTTGTCTTCTACACAGCGTCTCGGCCGATGCGTTCTCTGTTCATACTCGATGTTATCCGATGTTTCAAGGCGACGTATAGCCATTCCAACAATCATTTAAATTAGTATCCTCAATTTTCTTACTTTCATTACTGCGTTTCATGATGTGTCTTCAGCCTTCGTCAGTTTTCTGTTACATCAGGTTAATCTTGTATACTTTTTATAATCCACTAAATTTACAGGCTTCTTCAAAGGAATTCCGTAAAGGATTATGGACAAATCGATCTGATATCAACCGGAGTTTTATTTTGTTGAGAAATATGAATTTATAAGAAATCAACATCAATAAATCCATTATTAGTATAAAGAAACCCTTTCGAAAGACAAAATACTTAATATAGATTTGTTTTTCATTTTGTACTTCAATTAGGCGTTATTATTCTGAAATAAAGCATCCCCTTTCCAGAAACCAATAAATCTGTCAAAATGACCAAGGGAATTCAGAGCAGCATGAATCCATCCAGCTCTTATCTTAAATAACAACTTAAAAGAGACTGTTTGGCCAACACAAGGACTGACCAAAATTCATGTTAAAACAATGAAAAATAAAAAAAAACAAATGAAAACTACAGACAAAAGTTCATTTTCTCCATCAAGACATTCATTTCTGTAGTTCACTGCTATCAGCAAGCATAATTTATTTTCTCCTGATGATGGCCATGTTGGCCGAAACTAGTCGAGGAATCTAAATGAAATAATAATAAAAATGAAAGAATATTAATATACAACCCAGTGTGTCTGAAGATTTTAATTTTTAATATGTTTTTATTATTCAATGTATATATGTGTGTGTGTTTACAGATATGTTTTGTGGTACAAAACTTTATGACTGCCATAAAAAAGACCAACAATTATTTTTATTATCACTCATGATGATAATAGATAAAAAGTAAAACTGTAAAACGGGCTAGATAACAGTTTTCAATAGATAACATGGAATCAAATTTGTCTCTAGGGCCTAACCGGACAAATTTACAGGAATCTCCAACAATGGTTATAATCTTGTTAATATAATCTTGATAATCAAGAATAACAACACCAGTACCTTTATTCTTAGCAAGTCCCATTTGAATTACCACTTTAAAGTATTGGAGGCCATTTATATTTTTTCCGTTGAAGCCCTCTCTGCGTAAACAGAAGGACATCATACTGGGCCTCCAACTAATTTCCATCTAAGCAATACATTTTTTTCAATACATATTGTCCATCTTTTTTAGTGATAATTCTGTTTAATTTATTAACTTCGATTTAACTCTGTTAAGCGAGGTTCGAAACCGGTTAGCTAGCTCGTTTTTCAGTTTTTCTTTTTATCTATTATCATCATGAGTGGTAATAAAAATAATGTTTGTCTTTTTTATGGCAGTCATATATATATATATATATATATATATATATATATATATATATATATATATATATATATATATATATATATACACACACACAGAACGAAACGGCCGTCCAGTGCTTTCTGCATTCTGTTGAGGTTTCTTCTAGACTCGATGAATTACTTAATTATAATTATCTCAAATCCTTCTAATAATTTCTATCACTTGTATATCCTTGCTTGAACCGGCTTCTAATGCTCTGGATTGAGCGGCTTGGGGTTAGTAGTCGTAGCTGGGGGGGGGGCACAGTCCTATGGGTAAAAGAGAAACTCGGATGAGTTCCACCACGGAATTTGTGATCCAGCGACGCTATATCGAGTCTAATTCGTTAACTCTTCGTCACCGAGAACCGTTGGTATGGCTTTTGCCTCCTATCGTAACTGTCCGGGCTTCAATTCTCGGTAGTGGATGTGCACTGCTGATGAGTCCCAAATATAGGACGAAACGGCCATCCACTGCTTTCCGAATTCTGTTGAGGTTTCCTCTATACTCAATGAATTACTTAATTATGGATATATATATATACATATAATTATTTATTCTAAAATTATAACATAAATATGTTATAAAATCACTACAAATATATCCAATTTGTTTCAACACTTTTGGTGTCTTATCAAAAGTGTATATAGTTTTTCCTCTTGTCTCTTTTTATTCATTTTGTCTCTTCTACAAATACACTCGATCTAAGAACACACACATTATATATATATATATATATATATATATATATATATATATATATAGATAGATAGATAGATAGATAGATAGATAGATAGATAGATTGTTTGGTTAAATAATTTAGATGTATTATGTCTATTTATTTTAGTTTTAATCCTTTCAAGCTCATGAATTAATTTCTTAGGAGTTGTAGAAAAACTAAAATAAATAGACATAATGCGTCAAAATTATTTAACCTAACATGCTTGAATGAAAATATGCTGCCTAGATAGATAGATAGATAGATAGATAGATAGATAGATAGATAGATAGATAGATAGATATGAAAAGACACAGATAGATAGGAAGGAAAAAGCTATAGATAGATAGATAGATAGATAGATAGATAGATAGATAGATAGATAGATAGATAGCGCGTAATTATAATTCTGATTGGGAAGGGTCACTGGGTGCAATAAGGTGAACAAGTGTGCAAAAAAATCAAACGTAAGGAATCTATTAGAGCGAGAAGCAATGTAATTTTGTATAAAAACGCCAACAATGTAGAGTTGGGCGGAGAAAATGAAGGGAACTGTGAAAATGATTAGATAAAATGGTGAGAAGGAGAGAGAAAGAAATGAAATTAGTCGAGGAAAGAGAAAGTGAAAATTATGGAGAATGAGAGAGAGAGAGAGAGAGAGAGAGAGAGGGAGAGAGGGAAGGAGGTAAAGTGTGAGAGGCAACAAATGAGTGGTTCGGAAAAATGAAAAGCTAAATTAAATAAAGGCAGCGAAAGACAAAACAACACAAGTTTGACGTCATCTTTGCCGACACCTGTGAAGATCTACGTGACATTGTTAAAGAACAAGTGTCAGTTCTCCTTCCTGTCAGTGAGCCAGATTCACAATTTGTAGCACTTTTGAGCCAAGACAAATTCAAAATAAATCTATAATGAGCCATAAAGCACAGACCGTGTTCATCATATTGAATAACCATTAATCACCATCATCAGTTAAAACGTGCGTTTTTCAATCATCAGTTTTTTTTTCTCTCAATGAGTCTCCTTTGCTTCTATCGTCCATTGAAACTCATGTTCCCATCATAATTGAAGTGAGACCCGGATATGCGATCCATCACTAAAGATGTTAGGAAACTGGTCGGTGGCTTGTACCACTTATGAGAGTAAGTTCCGTATTTACAATAATCAAATCAAACCAAGCAGTGACCTCTTAATTTCTGGTGTCCCCACGTCCACCATGACCCGGGATGGTAGCACTTATTAGAATCTCAGCTTTGGGTAAATAGTTAACCTCTAAAATGGAGTCAAAACACTATGAAAGTGTAAAAATAGGTTTTGATATCAGCAATACATTTTTGTAAAAAATTATTAACAGCAATGAATTTTTGAAAAAAGAAAAAATATATGACCAGCAATACTTTTTTTTAAAATATATTATCATCAATAAAAATTTTGTCGGCATTAAATAACCCATCGAGGTTTATATGGCATTAAACAAAATAAACCAAACCAATCTAAACCAAAGAATACATATTCTATTCATATGAATCTATCCTAAAAAATGTTGTCGGCATTAAATAACCTATTGAGGTTGATATGCCGTAAACACAAAATAAACCAAACCAATCTAAACCAAAGAATACATATTCTATTCATATGAATCTATCCTAAAAAATGTTGTCGGCATTAAATAACCTATTGAGGTTGATATGCCGTAAACACAAAATAAACCAAACCAATCTAAACCAAAGAATACATATTCTATTCATATGAATCTATCCTAAAAAATGTTGTCGGCATTAAATAACCTATTGAGGTTGATATGCCGTAAACACAAAATAAACCAAACCAATCTAAACCAAAGAATACATATTCTATTCATATGAATCTATCCTAAAAATGTTGTCGGCATTAAATAATCTAAATAACACTAAACCAAACCAATTGAAAGAATTGATATGAATCTATCCTAAAAAATGTTGTCAAAAATAAACCAAATGGCATTAAACAAAATAAACCAAACCAATACAAAGAATACGTATTCTATTCATATGAATCTATCCTAAAAAATGTTGTCGGCATTAAATAACCTATTGAGGTTGATATGCCGTAAACAAAATAAACCAAACCAATCTAAACCAAAGAATACATATTCTATTCATATGAATCTATCCTAAAAATGTTGTCGGCATTAAACCAAATATGAAACACAAAAAATAAACCAAACCAATCTAAACCAAAGAATACATATTCTATTCCAAAAAAAATGTTGTCGGCATTAAATAACCCATTGAGGTTGATATGCCAAAAACAAAAATAAAACCAAACCAATCTAAACCAAAGAATACATATTCTATTCATATGAATCTATCCTAAAAAAATGTTGTCGGCATTAAATAACCTATTGAGGTTGATATGCCGTAAACACAAAATAAACCAAACCAATCTAAACCAAAGAATACATATTCTATTCATATGAATACATTAAATTCTATTCAAAGAATACATGAATCTATCCTAAAAATGTTGTCGGCATTAAATAACCTATTGAGGTTGATATGCCGTAAACACAAAATAAACCAAACCAATCTAAACCAAAGAATACATATTCTATTCATATGAATCTATCCTAAAAAATGTTGTCGGCATTAAATAACCCATCGAGGTTTATATGGCATTAAACAAAATAAACCAAACCAATCTAAACCAAAGAATACGTATTCTATTCATATGAATCTATCCTAAAAAATGTTGTCGGCATTAAATAACCTATTGAGGTTGATATGCCGTAAACACAAAATAAACCAAACCAATCTAAACCAAAGAATACATATTCTATTCATATGAATCTATCCTTAAAAACCTATGTTGATATGCCGTAAACACAAAATAAACCTATTTAGGTTGATATCCCCAAAAATGTTGTCGGCATTAAATAACCTATTGAGGTTGATATGGCGTAAACACAAAATAAACCAAACCAATCTAAACCAAAGAATACATATTCTATTCATATGAATCTATCCTAAAAAATGTTGTCGGCATTAAATAACCTATTTAGGTTGAATATTCTATTCATATGAATCTATCCTAAACACAAAATAACCCAAACCAAAATAAACCAAACCAATCTAAACCAAAGAATACATATTCTATTCATATGAATCTATCGTAAAAAGCTTGTCGGTATTAAATAACCCATTGAGGTTGATATGCCGTTAAACAAAAGAAACCAAAACAAACCAAAGCAAAAAATGACGTATTTCTGCCACCTCTGGGCTGAAGCTGACCAACTTTCTATTTCCAGTCTTGACAGATTTTAACAAAAGTTTACGCGGCCTTGTAAGTGCTTAATTATTTTCAACATTACAACTCCAGGGATGAAATATTGTTAGCCTTTCACCACTTAATTGATATATTGATAGATGTTCAGACGAGCTATATTCCTTACTTCCACAAGACCTTCATAACTAAACACTGCCACGCCACATCCTCATAAAGTCCATATTCCGATAAAGTTCCACTCAGTGGGATACTTGTGACATTCCAGACTTGTTCCAGATTCTTTAAGTAACTTTGATCCCTTTACCATCCCTCTTTGTCCCTGTTCTGCCATCCATTCAAACAAATTGAATCACTGCTTTGCAGAACCAACTCCCAAGAGGATGCTTTCCTGATCATTACAATGATAACCTGTTCAAATCCAGGACTAACCGTTACAATCCCCATATATCTCCATAAAATATGCCTTTTACTCTGTAACCCTCTACCTCGAGTGGCTCTTGGGACCAAATAGGCTGAACATTATTGAAAAAACTCGTTAAATAGATTACTCGTTGATCCTTCTTTCTTTGGCCTTTAGTATGATATGTGAATATTATATTCACTCTTTTTCTTTTTTATGTGTCTTAATAATTAAAACTGTTTCTTTCCACAAGTTTATGTAGTGCCTATTTTTCTTAAAACTTCCTCGTTGCTCACATGCTCTGTCTATGCTATCCTCAACATCCTTCTGTAGAACCGCATCTCAGTCGCTTCAAGTATCTTCTATAAAGAGATTGTCCAGTATCCACTGCCACATAGTAGATTAGATATTACATAGCAGTTCAAAAATCTTTTATTTGCTTCTAAATTTTCTTTATACTTTGCTAAGTTTCTGAAAGACATGTTTCGTTATTTCGAGTAGCTTCAGATTTCTATGTAACGTTTTCTTTTATCGGTTATTATGTGGAACGAAGAGCGACAGTCAATCTTCAAATCACAAAAAAATGGTTTCTGAGTCAGAGGATTCGGGTAATAAATTAATCCGTCGACAATAAAAAAAAAAATGCATTGTGATCCGTTTGAAGATTATATAAGCAGAGTTTATAAACCAGATAATCCAGTAAAGAGACAGAGACGGATGCGTGCGACGTCAGTTCACGATGACAGCTTCAAAGAGATTCCCTTCCTCATTTACCCGTCTTCCTCACCAAGCTACGTGACACTTAGACTTTCTCCCCTGCCTCCTTTCTCTCACAAATGCACGCAAAGAAATCAGATTTCTTTTCATGCTAACAAACAACTACAAACAAGGAACTTTAATACGCTGAGAAAAATTTAGTTCCAAAAACAAAAATATTTTATATTTTTATATTTAAAACATCTTTTTCCCCTTTCTTCTTTGTTGTGGGTTGATTCAAAGCTGCAAAAATGACACTTCCCAGATTTGGAAGCCCAATACGTTGCCCAAACCCTTGTCTCCCTTGTTTAACAATTAAGCATTCTGTCCTCTTTCAGTTAGTCCTTTCTTCTTACTTTCCTTTACTCGACTTGAAAGTCAACATTATCATAAACTTTACCTAAATTGGAACAACTACCTCTGGCACCGTAACCATTTCAACTACAGGACAATCTACTAATATATACTAAGAATAGTTTATCATGCTTCAAGTTTCAAAGTGTGGGCAACTCAGTGAGAATCAACGTCATTAAAATAACAAGAATAACCATTGCACAGTGTGTACGAAGAATTTGTTACGCCAATCTTTCAAGTTGGATTCGTTACAGACATTTACATGCAAATCCCCCTTGGAAAAGATATGAAACCTCCCAACTATGGGTTAAATAGTAGGAATTGTATCTGGAAAAATCATTGCTATTCTTAAAGAATTGTTAATTCACTTGCAAACAAAGAATCATTCTTACAATCTAAAATATGTTTCGGTTTAAAGAGGTTGATAAAAATTTGAGGCGAATGAAGAAATGGTATAATTTTCTAGAAAGTAAAATTAATTTAAAAATTCAAGATCTAGTTATTTTTTTATTTTATAAAATGTTTTTAAATTAAGCACTAAAAGATTATCTATTCTTATTGCCTGACGGATTTACGATTGTATTATCCGATTTTTTAATGTCAGAAAAGGATACTATCACATTGTATTGTCCATAGACGTTACTCGGGATTATATTCTCCTTCTAAGTTTTTTTAAGCTTAGCTCAGAATCAAATAAAGAAAAGAAGATTATGTTGCGTCGGGCATCTAAACTGGATGATCTTGGCTGCTTCTTGACAGATCTCATAAAAAAAGTTTTTTTTTTATTTTGTTTTTATCGTTTGTCTTTTTTCTTATTTTTTGTCTTGGGTTAGTGTAGAAGAGAAGCAGTTTTTTTTTAAAATTTTGACTAAGAATTGCTTTCATTTATTTATTTATTATTTTTATTTTCTGTTGAGTTAAAATTATCAACAAGTTTCCGTTTTCCTCCCAACAAAAACAAGAAAAAACAAAAATTGCATGCGAAAGGCTAAGATTCCTGGCCACAAA